CTATGAGTCGGGTCCAACTCCAGGGTACATAACAACAACAATTGGTGGCATAGTGCCTAAGACATTTGACTGCTAACCAGAAGACTAGGGGTTCAAACCCACCAGCCACTCCTCTGAAGGAAGACTGGGCAATCTACTTCCGGAGAGATACCTCCTGAGAAACCCAAGGAGGGGTCGCTATGAGTCGGACCAACTCACCAGCAGTGAGTTGGGTTTGTTTTGGTTTTGCCGTAAAGTGCTCAGTTGGACACAGACTCTATTTCCCCAGTTTACAGCCACCACCAGGCTTCCCTGGCCTATCTAGACTTCACTGAATGTGCTTTGTGAATGATGACTTTTCCTAAGCGTCTTTTTGACAGCCTTAGTGACCCCTCCATAGAATTCTGAAGCATGAGGTTCTGATTGTGATGTATCTATACTACTCCTCACAATCACCCTGAGTTGCAGAATGCCTTAGCAAGTAGCAACTTAAGCAACACTTTTATGTGGCTTCTGTGCTGAAATGAAGGAGCCATTTTTCAGTGTGGGTGTTTTTTTTTTTTTCCCTCATGACATAGACAAATGTTGATGTTTACTACAAGTTGGTACATTAGTTGCTAATTAAGTTCCTAGCTACTTCAGCCAAAACTTGCTGTATTGAATCCAAGAAAAGAATGGCAGCTATATAAAAAATAAGTTGTTAAGGATTTTTGTTGTGTTTTGTTATGTTTTATTAAAGGAAAGTTGTATATTAAAGAATACAGGGAGCTTTCATGCTTGGAGACAGGAAACCTTCTCTCTTGGTTCCCTCCTAAGCCGAGATGGTGCTTAAATCCCTTTGCCTCTGTCACCAGGCACTGATGGAAGCTGTGTAAATATTAGCCATCTAAGCATGGAGCAATAAAGTTAACTATTTCTAAGTACTCACTTTTTCAGACCCACCTCCAAGTTCCCCGAGGAACAAGTCAGTTCTTGGGAAACCACACGAGGCCAGAATTATTCTAGGAAGGAGCAGAGTCTCTATGTCCTGGGATTCTTGGGTTACACATTTCTGGAAAGATACCTTCTTAACTTTATCTATTTACCTATCCTTTGCCGCTTGCGTGAGACTGCACGCACTCCGGCCAGGTCAAAATCTGCATTCCAGCAAAGGGTAACTCCTTCCTTGCTAGCATGTGGGTCTGTGGCAGTTAGTTTTTCACTACCTTTCAAGCGTGAAGTCTCGAATCACACGCTTTCGTGCCCTCCACACTTGGGTTGCAAAGGGATATTGCAAAAGGGCTGCGAAATTTTCGGTAAGGACTGATATTTGAGGCAAAACCTTATATGGAGGACAAAATGCTGGAAAAAGAGCACTGCTGGAGCGTTGTCTTACTTTGTGGGAAAGAGAATTCCCTTTCCTTTTCGATTTCCCACTGTGCCCTAGACCAAAGACCGCTCCTTGCCAGACCCAGCCAAAGGGTGGCTCCGCCCCGACAAAACAGACACTCCCCTGTAGCCTATTGCGTTTGGAAAGTCCTAGACCAGAGAAACGAAACGGAAACTAAACTCAGGCAAACTTTAAGAACTGCCTGCCGGAGAGCCAAGCGCAAAGCTCCCACCATAGCGTACAGCGGCGTGCCAGGCCTTCTGCCCCAGCGCGCACGGGGGACAGTAGGAGGGACAGCTCCCGCCTGCCCCCACTGCCTGCCTTTGTACCCTCACGTGCCAAGGAACGACCGCGACCCCGCGCACCAGCCTGGGGCCCTGTGGGCAGCCTTGTTGCAGTCGTCTGGCACATTCCTGCAGACCAGTAGCTTCAGAGCAGAGGACCGCGGCACACACGGCTCACTGACTAGGTACCCGACCGTATACTTGGGAGAATCCTCTCCCTTCTCTGAGAGCCAAAGATGTCAAATGGGTATTCCTCAGACAAGAGTTTCCGGTATCTCATCTCTTGCTTCATGGTCAGACTGAAAAAGTACATCCAGGTGGAACCTGTAATGGACTACCTGACCTTTCTTCCTGCAGATGTAAAGGAGCAGATTCAGAGGACAGCTACCACCAGCGGGAACATGCAAGCAGTCGAATTGCTTTTGAGCAACTTGGAGAAGGGGGCCTGGCCCCCTGGCTGGACTAGGGAATTTGTGGAGGCCCTCCAGCGAGCGGGCAGCCCTTTGGCCGCCCGCTATATGAACCCTGACCTCACCGACTTGCCCTCGCCATCATCTGAGAGTGCTCACGATGAGTGTCTCCAACTGCTGAACATCCTACAGCCCACTCTGGTGGACAAGCTTCTGGTTAAAGACGTCTTGGATGAATGCGTGGCGAATAACCTGTTGACACCTGAAGACAGAAATCGGGTAGGTCACATGAAACTGCTTTTAGGCAGATTTTGCAATGCAGGGTTACTTGTACATTGGGCTTATTTCAGTTCCCTTCTTCTCTGAGAAGAGACTAGGCACTTAAAAACGTACTTTCAGAAATCTAAACACGAAAGAGCTATTCTAATTCCACTGAAATAAGCTAAAAAGGAGTTAACTCTGGAATAATATATACTAACAGCCACTCCTCGGAAGGAAGATGGGGCAATCTATTTCCCTAGTGATACTGCCTTAGAAACCCAAGGAGGGGTCGCTATGAGTCCGGCCGACTCCACAGCACATGACAACAACAACAACAGATGATGTATATTGAACACTTACTATATGCAAGGAGTATCATTTGCAAAATGTATAACCACAGTTCATGCTTCAATAACCCACTGAGGCCCTTAATGTCATTAATTCCATTTTACAGATGAGAAAACTGAGGCAGGTTAAATAATTTGCCCAAAGTCACCCCAGGAAAGCAGTGGCAGGGCTGTAAATTTAGGTCATGATGATGTGAAATTTTATGTACTATTCAATGTAGTCTCATAAAGGAGCCCTGATGACGCAGTGGTGAAAACACTCAGTTGCTTACCAAAGGATCAGTTGCTCAGTGGGAGAAAGATGTGGCAATCTACTTCCATAAAGATTTATAGCTTTGGAAAACTGATGGGCCGGTTCTGCACTGCCCTATAGGGTTGCTATGAGTCAGAATCAACTCAACTGCAGTTAAGTTTGGGTTTCTCATAAAATGGGTGATCAGTGGCCCACAGGCTAAATCTATGTTCCAACCACTTCTTTGGGATCCAAAATTGGAAATAATGCATTGAAAAAAAGCACGTTGTTGCCATCTTCATACTGGTGAAGGAATAGTAGATTTTGCATTTTGACAAGATAACAGGTAACTTTACACTTAATGTAATGTTTTATTGGTCATTGTTTTTTGATGAGTGAAGATGCATTCTGAAGTATATAAATGCTGATCATGTAAATCTGACTTATTCAGGGTTGTAAGTCAAACATCTTGTTTTGAAAAGCATGCAGGTATTTAAACCCATGTTTTGTCTATACCATGTTATCATTTAGACATTTTCTTTCTCTCCCTCTCCTTTTTTAAAATTCATTAGTTGTTTGTATCATGATCACAAAGTGCTGGGCATTGGGTTGGTGAGCTACAGCCTATGATGTGATTTGATCTTTAGTGACCAAAGCTAATGGCCCTTTGACGTCTTGACAGCCATGAGGGCCTGTCCAAAGACTGAAGACTGCATCTAATTTTGATGGTTGGTTTTCTCAACAAGTAAATTGCTTTACACTGTTGTCTGTAACGTTTATGTAATTTGTGTATTGAGAACCAGCTAGAACGCATTATAGTCGTCCAGCTGGATATGACAAATGTGTACATCACTGTGGCAGAATCTTAATTTGGAAGAAAGTATGCAGCCTTCAAGCCAGCTGGAGATGGAAGATGGCATTTCCAGCCGCAGTAGCTGTTAGGAAGTCCAGAAGCAACAGAGTCCAGTAACACCACAAAGCTGTTTATATTTGGTGGAAATGATGTCCCGATTGCCAGTAAAATAGCACTTATCCTTATTTACTCTAAATACTTCTGCCTATCAGCATCACTTTTGTCTTGCCTGGATTGAATTTCCGCCAGCTAGATTTTTATCCAAGATCTTGATTCTGGCAAGCTTGGAGGCAGCTAGCAGTAACCGAGGGATTTGACACAAAGAAGATACAGAGTGAGGGGACTTTAGTGTATCGGTAGCAGTTAAGGCCAAAGCAACCCAAACTCTTCCCCTAGCTTGACATTTTAAAGAAGACTCTGAAAGACAATGGAGTTACTTATTTATTTGGCTGCTAACCAGAAGGTCAACTGTTCAAACCCACCAGCTGCTCCACAGGAGAAAGATGAGGCAGTCTACTTCCCTAGAGATGTAAAGCCTTGGAACCACGGGGCAGTTGTGCTCTGTCCATAGGGTTGCTATGCATCAGAATTGACTTGATGGCAGTGGGTTTGGTTTGGTTTTAAGGAGAAGAGGTGACTCTGAGATTTTGGAATTATTTTTTGTTTCATATCATTTTGCATGTATTATCAGTTCCAATAATAAGCTATGGCTGACAATGGGAAAAAGGGGTACGTTTGAAAGAATCTATACTGATGTATATCGATTAGGGTCATTTATGAATGTTATCTTATAGCAGCAAAGTGTAGTGGGGAAAGCATGGAATTTAGAATGACAATACCTAGATTTGAGATCTGGCTCTACTTCTTACTATACCCATTACTTTGGGCCAAGTTGTTTGAGCTTTCTGATCCTATGTTTTCCTACCCATGAACACAGGCATAATAATTTCTCTTCCCACTCACAGTATTTTAGCGAACATCAGATGAGCAATAGTGTTTTTGAAAAAATTTTATAAATATTAAAGAGCTAGTTTGATATGACATGATGATGACTTGTTATCATTCATTCATCTGGTTACAGTGACTTGTGGGTTTCAAATTTCATAAATTTAGGTAAATTTCTCATGCTGCAATTGTGATCTACTTTTAGAAGTACCTGGATTAGTTTATGATTTGAGGATAAACCTAGTCTTTTAGTTTTGAGCTCCCAGCCCCTAGCTCAGGACTAGGTAGCAGCCAGTGCTTAGTAAATATTGATTTAATTGGCTGGTTGAATTGTATGCTTCCAAAAAGTTGTCTGGGATAAGAGTTGAGATCACATGATGTGGTGAATTACCTTGGCAGGCATTCAGAAGTAGATGATGGGCATAAGATCTCCAAATGTGCTTTTAATTGACAGCTTACAGTAGCATTTAACTAAGTAATCACTTTTTAAAAAATGTCTTTTATTTTCCCCTCCTGTCTTCCAGTGGGAGCTCTGGTGGCATAGTGCCTAAGGCATTTTTGACTGCTAACCAGAAGGCTGGCGGTTCAAACCCACCAGCCACTCCTCGGAAGGAAGATTGGGCAATCTGCTTCCGTACAGTACTGCCTCGGAAACCCAACGAGGGGTCGCCATGAGTCGAGTTGACTCAGCGGCATTGAGTTTGGTTTAGTTTTGGAGTTCCTGTCTTCTAGTAGACATTTCCTATTTGGCCTCTTATTTTAGCTTCCCCTCCCCCTTTGCCTCTCTACAATAGAGCTTCAGAGAATGACCTAAAGTTAGTTTTGTGTCTAACGAGTACTCATAGAGATGGATTTAATTTATTGTTTTATTCCTTCATTTGATTTATATTCATTTAGTGGCAACTTTGTGCTAGAAATCATGCTAGGGTGAAAATGATGCTGGAGTGGAAAGACTGGAGAATAATAGAAACACTCCCTGTGCTTTCACGGAGCTTGTATTCTAACAATAATTAGCGTTCATTCTTCCAACAAATAGTTAAAGAGTATCTGTTCTATGCTAGGCACTATTCTAAATACTGGAGACTCATCATCACATAGGAATCATTTTATAGATAATTTTAATAAAATGATCCCAGACAGTAGGAGAATGCCCCCCCCCCCCCGTACTGACCTGAGGAGCCCTAATGGCACAATGTTAAAGAGCTTGGCTGCTAACCGAAAGGTTGGTGGTTTGAACGCACCAGCTACTCCACAGGAAAAAAGACTTGGTAATCTGCTCTCATAGATTACACACTAGGAATCCCTACGCGACAGTCTACGCGACAGTTCTACTTTTTCCTTTAGGGCTGTGAACCAGCCACTGTGAATCAGAATCAACTTGAAGGCACATAACCATAACAGTTCTAGAAGACCTGGTGTACCTTTCATTTACATTGGAGAACCAGAGACACTAGACTAGTTCAACTAGAAACACTTGAGTTCTCCCTACATGAAGTTGAGCATCTAATTCAGTCTTGCCTTCCTCGTTGTCAGTTAATAATTATTGTCAGATAATAATTTGTAGTTAGAAAAAGTATTAATAAGAAATTGCTATGTCACTCTGATAATGTTCCTTTAGTAAGATATTAATTTTTATAAGGAATTAGTTCTTGTTAATGTTACCAAGGGGGCTCCTGTGTC